GTGAGCGACACAAGCTGAAGGCCACATCTACAGCCAGCAGCCTGAGCAACTGTCCTGTGGCGCCTGGAGCAGGTCAGCCTGCTGCCCCAGAGGACAGGTATAGAAACCCGAAGGCCGGTCATGTCCGTGGACCTCCAGTGCTGACCAGGGGCCTTTCAGACAAGGAGTCCAGGTCTGGCAGGACAGAGACACACACAGAGTCCTCAGACCCCGTCCCTGCCAGCTGCCAGGGGACTGTCTGCACACAGGGTCAGGGTCAACTCTTGGGCCCTGCATTCAGGACGTTGGTAAGGATACCACACCGGCCTTCCTGTAGGCCCCTCAGACTCTGTGACAGCGGTGTGGACACCACAGTGATCTGATCCCACTGTGTCTCGGGACCAGAACAATCAGTTTTTCTGACACATTTCAAAGGCACAGACGTTATCAACAGATGGCACTGGGGGAGTGACCCCAGGCTGGACCCAGGACAGAGGGATGGACACCCACCAGGAGAGGGAGGGGTCGGTCTGGACTGCATGTCAACGCTGAGGTCACGTCCCTGTCCATGTCCTACAACAGCCATGAGCTCTGGGCTGTGAGCTCGGAGCGCCCCTAGTGGTGGGCCTGGGTGCTGCCCCCACCTGTCCTGCAGGATCTGTGTCTGGGCCACAACCGCCCCTCCCGGGGTCCCCCAGTAATAGTAAGTACCAGACACCTGGACAGGTGAGGGTCTCATCCCTGGGGGGTCTCACCAGTGCACAGTCACCTCCTCCTTGGGGCTCCCCAGGAATGTGGAGAACGGAGATTCTGAGAGGAGAGCGATGGTGCCCTGGAGAGCTGGGGTCTTGCAGAGGGAGCCCCAGACAGGAAGCCCTGCACCACCAAACGCCTGCACCTGCTCCTGGCTGTGCTCGGAGCTCTGAGCCTCCTGGGCCTCCTGGAGTCCCTGGGCCCCTGGGGTCCTGATGTGCCCCGGTGGACCCCCAGCCCCGCCCTCCCGTCCTGCAGGGTTTGTGTCTGGGCTCACACCCACTCCCCTCACGGTGTCTCTCGCACAGTAATACACGGCCGTGTCCTCGGGCCTCAGGCTGCTCATTTGCAGATACAGCGAGTTCTTGGCGTTGTCTCTGGAGACGGTGAATCGGCCCTTCATGGAGTCTGCATGGTTTGTGCTACCATCAGGATAAGTGTATGCAATCCACTCAAGCAAGGAGTGGAGAGGAGAGACTGAGAGAACCCCCCAGGCGGCACCAAGTCTCCCCAGACTCCACCAGCTGCGCCTCACCCTGGACACCTGCAAACACAGACACAGCCCGTTAGGACATGGCTCTCGCCCACTGCTTCCCCTCCTGCCCCTCCTCAGGGATCCTGCCCCAGGAATCACCCCTAGAAGAGCCACGAGGAGCAGCCAGCTCAGCCCACGCTCCATGGCAAGTGTCCGCGTCCGTGCTGACCCAAGTGGACCCTGGGTGTGGGCTGGGCTCCTGTGCGGGCTCCTGTTAGGGTTAGGGCTGTTTTTCAGCAGCAGGGGATGCCCTATTTGCATGTGTCCTGCTATATAGCAGCTCTGGCTGGGTCTGGGCCAGAGGAGCCGGGAAGGGTCCTGGGATGTTGGGGTCATGACACACGATGAGCAGGTCCTTATTAGGGGCCAGAGCTGGTGACACTGAGCCCCTGTTACTTGCTGTGATGCAGGCCCGGTGCTGGTGCTCACACGTGCTCTGTGGGGTCTTCTGTGGAAACGGGAACCATGTGCACTGTGGGGTGAGTGGCGGATGCTCAGCCAGTGCTGAGAACAGTGTGAGGTCCCTGAACAGGAGTCGACAGATGTCTGTGTGGTCAGCGTCTCACCTGTGGTCAGGTGTGCACTGGGAGTGGCATCAGGACAGGTGACAGCAGGGAGGTGTGTGGTTAATTCCCATTTCAGTGCCTCTGCCCAGTGTGGCTGCCCTGAGGGGGTGGCATCCAGTGTTCAGGGCTCTGATTTAGGATGGCCTTGGGTGGATGGACACCTCTGTCCATCATAATGGGGTGTGCTCCATCCCCTACCTTTCGGCTCTTTCATCACCTTTAAGGTCCCTCCGAGTCTCTCCATGATGGAAGCTCATGTCCTCATAGCTCAGGTGTGCAGGGCCTGGTGCACAGGGCACCGTGAGTGGACATTGAGGAAATAGTGTCATGGACGGACACAGAGAAGTTACTGTCCCGACAGCCTCTGAGCATCTGCGTGGTGACAGTTGTGAGGCCTCAGGCCTCGTGAGGGACGGAGACTCAGGTGTGTTGGGGGAGGGACCCTCACCTGGGCCCATCTTCCTGGGGGTCACTCAGATGTGAACTAAGGAGAAGGAGAACAGAGAATAAGGGGGTTTATATTGAGAGGAGGGAGTGGGGTTCGTGCACCTTTTTATCATAGACTTTAAAATAGGGAGAAAACTGTGCTCAGAATCGCGCCTGCTGCGGCCTGTGGGGACGTGGGTGTCGGGACGCCTGAGGGTGCCCAGGGCAGGATCCAGATGGGACTGACCAGACCCAGCCCTGGCACTGATCGTGTCCCTTCATTCCTTGGCTTTCGGGCCGGCTGGTCCGGGAGAGGCAGAGGAGGAAAGAGACCAAATCTCCGCTCTGTGGCGGGAGGGCTGCGCCTCATGACGCCT